TTGCTAGCAAACTTTTTCTTCCTCTCCTCTCTTCTACCAAGCTTACCCTCCTTCCTCTATTCTCTCTCAGCTGAATATAGTGTGTATGTGTGTGTTCTTGTGTGCAAAATGCTAGGGGAGAGGTTTATTTTATAGGAAAATTGGTGCAAAAGGTCCATTTTGCCCATTGGTTGGAATTGAATTGGATATTTTGGATTTAGTTTGAATTCAATGGAATAGTGGAGGATTAGGGGCCCTAATTATGTAATTAATCATGATCTAGTTAGGATTTGGTTAGGATTGAACTTAGGTTGGAGGCAAGGTTCCATGATTTGGGGGTACTAGCAAACTTTTTCCTTAATTTCATGGATATGGTTTGAAAAAGTGTATCCATTCCACTTCCCTAGGGTGGCTGGCCATGTGCTAGATTTGGGGAGATTTTTGTTGATTATATATATATATATATGAAGATATTTTGTGTACAAAATTATTTATTTGAGAAATGTACAAGTATATATACGTGTATATATGTGTAATGGTGCTAGTTTGGGTCAAAATGTGATTCAAGAAAAATATGAGGGCTTGGGCTCAATTAAAGTGTCTATTTCAAGTGTAGATTTAATAAACTAGTGTTAGGAAAAATAATTCGGTTTGTATTATCTTGCTTTGAATTTAAAGGTGAATAATCGAACGAAAACTGTGAAAACTGGAAGTTAAGGTTTAGAGTGAGTAATCTAAAATTTGAGAGTTAAATAATTAATATTAGAGTGTTAGAAATGATTTCTAAACTTCCGGGGTCAATTAGGGTTTGTAGGTGCTTGTCCGTGATATATTTTTGATTCTAGGGTTTAATTTACGAATAATCAACGAATTAAGGGTTTTACTATAATAATTCCAAATTTAGGGACCTAATAGGGTTTACTAAAGTTAGGGGTCTCACAGTGCTCCTGTCTACCCACTACTGCATTTCCTTCAATATGGCATGCCTGCTGATGTTGTGGATGAGTACATCAAAATTAGTGAAACTACTACAATTGCCGCCTTGAATTGTTTTACCAAAATGATTATTGCTATCTATGAAGGCATATACTTAAGATCCCCAAATGAGACAGATGTCACTAGACTATTGGAAGAGGGAGAGCAACGCGGGTTTCTTGAAATATTAGGGAGTTTGGATTGTATACACTGGTGTTAGGATAAATGCCCAACCTCCCAAGCCAGTGCTTACACTAGACATGTGCACAAACTAATAGTTGTGCTCGAGATAGTTGCCTCTTACAACTTGTGGATTTGGCATGCTTTCTTTGGCATGCTTAACTCTCTTAATGATATTACTGTTCTTGACATGTTGTCTTTATTTTCTCAATTAACTAAATGACGTGCCCCTACTGCTAACTATACCATCAACAATCATATGTACACCGTGGGATATTATTTAGCTGATGGTATCTATCCTCTTTGGGCAATGATTGTCAAAACAATATCTTAAACTCAAGGTTTAAAGCGATAACTATTTGCGAGGATGAAAGAGGCATATCAGAAGGATGTCAAAAGGGCATTTGGAGTTCTCTAAATGGTTTAATATTGTTAGAGTTTCGATGAAAGGTTGGAATGATGAGGATCTATACTACATTATAAAAACGTGCATTATTTTGCACAATATGATCATTAAAGACAAGTGTGATATTCCTGAAAATCAACGTTGTGCAGCACTATTGCAAACAGATACCACTAATGCCCCATGTCAAGTGTCACGCGATCCAAACCAAGACGATGCTAAATTTATGTTCAATCACCAGAGGATTAGATCTACTGAAACCCATAATGCAATTTGTAATGATTTAATTGAACACTTGTGGGTCCGTCATGGAGAGTTAGATTAAATTTGTATTTTATCTCTTCGCTTCCTTTAATGTCATTTTATTTTAATAAAATTGTCTTCATTCGCAACTTTATTGTCTTCATTTCAATAAGTTTGTATTTATTCATAAAAACATTGACCAATTAAATAGATATTACAAACTAAATTACATTACAAAAGCAAAATTACATTGGAACATAAAAACTAAAAATTATATTGAAAAATAAATGACATTGCAAAATGAAAAATACATTGTCTCTCAATTATTCATCAAGAGGTAGGGGAAGACAATAATTTGGGTTGCTCACATATATGAACCACTTTGCGAAAATCTCATTCTTGCGCATTATATAATAAGCTTTCATTTGAGGGTCCATAATAGAAATGTCCGCAATCATTATGGAATGTTCTTTCTTTTTCATCTCAAGTTCTTTCATCTCTTGCAATGTTTGAATCCTTTTGCCTTCTCTTTTAGCTTTTTTCATTTCCTTCTCACTAAGGTGATGGTTAAATCTTTCCAACAAATTGTTAAGTTTGTGGCCTTCAGCTTCAACGACTTGACTTTTTCAAAGTATTTTTTTGCAGATTTCTTACCTACAGGTCTTTTACCTCTTACAGAGACACCACCATCACCAACACTTAGATTGTTACCAACACTTGAATTGTTACCTTCACTTGGGTTGCTATTGTTTTCAAGAGAAATGCAGTTTTGCATAGAGGAATCGGGGACTGAAACGGTAAATGGCGTATGTATCCTTGACTTGACTATGTTCATACGAGCTACATCTTGCTACTTGATATTGTTTTGCAACATGTCAAAATGTTTTTTTTTTCTTCATCTTGATGGTATAAAAGTTTTGCTCGAAGCATCTATATAGATAAAATATTAAATTAATTAATCAGTTAATTTTTATATGATACAAAATAAAAAAAACTAACATAATAAATCAAGATGAAATCTTACTATATCAACTTGAGACATCCCACTTGGGTGTAGATTTTCGACTTGCACTAAACACTAAATTTGTTGGAACATTTCATGATTATACCTTATCGAGATTAGATAGACACTTGTGTTCTTGACTGATCATTCTGAAGCAAGCAATAATTTTCGTAAATTCTCCCCCAACAATGAGCATACGATTGCAAATTGCCAACAATTGAGTCTTCAGAAATGTGACACCAAGATTTATAAATTGCCACATCTTCATCAATGGTGAATGATTTTCCTCTCTTTGCTTTTGATGAGCCTTCCATAGTAATTGTGTTTACAAACTAAAAGCAAAAATGTAATTTGGGAGGTTTGTTGTGAAATGAAATTGAGATAAAGAGAGAGGAAAAAGAAAAATATAATTTAAAATGTTTGTTGTGAAATGAAATGAGATTAAGGGTTTCTATTTGTAAAAATTCAAAAAATGACTGTTGGTAGGTAATAGCCGTTGAGACCAAAATGAAAAAAATAAAATAAAATACGGCTACTTATTTGTAGCTGTTGTTCTTTACTTTTTTTTTTCTTTTTCTTTTTTTTAATTTTTAATTTTTTTTTTTAAAAAAAAGGAGCACAACGTCGCTTTTTCATTTCCAAGACACCATCGTTACCATTCACCTACCCACAATCCAACAATTGAGATCAACTATCTGGAAGCATTCCCGTATGCATTCCAAGACAACATCCTCTTTCTCTTGTATCCAAACCAGTCGGCTATTGAGAGCTTCTGTGTGTGTGTGTGGTGTTCTATCTTCATCCACAACAAAGGCAACGCCGCAACCTCTTTTCTCTCCATCTTCATTATCAGAAACCCCTTTATTTGTGTCTTCATTTTGATCATCACTACCACCAGAGGCGATCACCAAAACCAGTCTTTCGTCTCTCTCTCTCTCTCTCTCTCTCTCTCTCTCTCTAATTTCCATTACCATCACCAGCGTCGATCACCCATCGCTGATCGCGAAGTTCGATGGAACACCACTGTTTGGAACACCACCGATCGCGAAGTTCGATGAAACAGGCCCTAGTGGTCGATGGAGGTTGAGATGAAGAACAAGTTCATCAATCATATTGGAATCTAACTATTTATCTTCTAAATTCGTTTTAGAAATTTATATAAATTTGTGAAATTTGGGTTTGATTTGTTCTAAATTCATTATTATGGAATTTGTGATTTGTTCTAGACTATAATTTGTAAAAATTGTGAAATTTGTGAAACTAGTTTTTGAATGATTATTCCAAAATTGCAGATAAATTTGTGTTTGGGAATTCTATTTTTTTTTCTTCTCAATTTTGGTGAACTTTGCAAAAATAAACGAATGGTGAACATTCTGTGATAAAAAATGGTGAATTTTGCAGGGAAAAAAAAAATCAAAGATTTTGGGAGGTTTTCCTAGTGAATTGATTTTGTGTTTTTCAACTGATTTGGAGCCAAAAATTTGTTGGTCTTTGATGATGTGGCATGTTTGGTACCTGCTATTAGTCTTGTCAAATTTGACAATAGAAATGGCATATGTTATATTTGGTAAAAAGAATAACAAACCATTGAAGATCCCTTTTTTGTTATTCCTACCAAATTATAATTTTAGCAATTCTTTTGACAACTTTATTGGAGATGCTCTTAGGTGCAAGATTCTAATTTTTTTTTTCTTTATACAAATGATTTTCTGAAACTTTTTTCCCTCACCAAAACTCTTCTGAGATAATGGGAATCCATTAAACAAGTTCAAGAGCTACAAAAATTAAAAGGTAGAATAGACTCATTCTATTCACAAGTTTCACTCTTATCAACGCGTTTGGTGGGAAATGTATTAAAAAATGTATAGCTAAAAAAAAAAAACCTTTTAAATTAAAATATAATAAAAATTTATCTAGCTTAATGAAAATGCTCTTATAATAATAATGTCCGGGGTCATGCTTAAGTGTGCAACCCCCTTAAGGTTGCACACCATATGCAACCCAATTGTTAGCCATTACATTACAATAATTGATCAAGACCATTGAATTGTTTAATCGTGAAAAAGTTGAAACCGGGGCAACTGGTTAATGCTTGTATTTGCATGATTGCATCCCACTCACTCTCTGTATTTCATCTCTATCTCTCTCTGTTCTTCTCTCTGTGTAAGGTTAAGTCAGTGTAACCCTTGATTTCCATTAACAGCGAGAAGCCCCTGCTGGGTTGGTTCCATTGACGAAGCTCTGTAGGGAACAGTATAACGGGCGATTTCCAACAACAACGTAACTACAAGGCTGTGTTGGTTCCATTGCTGAAGTGAAGCCCTTCTCTCGAACTAGATATGAGGTATGGAGCTGTCTCCCTCTCTGTCTCTCTAGCCCGTTCACTTCAGCTATTTTCCCTCAACTAAACCCCCATCCTAACTTCAACCGCTCTACACTTCGCTCCAACGGAAACCCCTCCATTGGCAGCTAACCTTTCTCTTTCTCTTTCTCTTTCTCAAGCGAGTGTTTGTGTTTGCACAAACAGGTAAACCGTGTGAAAATGTCATGTTTGTGTTTGTGTTAACAATTTTCGGTCATCAAGTAATTGTTGGTAGTAATGTCATGTGCAGTATGGCCCCAGCGGAAGTTAAAAGGGAAGGTGATGATTATGACATTCCAAATGAAGCAGATGACATCCGTTTGATGAATGAAAGTCGGGCAGAACCTGATCATGGTTGCGAAGCTGGTCCGAGCAATGAAGAAGCAACCAACATGAACGTTGAAGATGGCGGAGCCGATGTGAAAAAAGAAATGGTTGACGATGCTCACCGCAATGACATGGTTGGTGATGTTGAACGTGCTATTCTGGAACAGAAATTTGATTCGGTCGAAGATGGAGAAGATTTCTACAATGCGTATGCTAAAGCCAAGGGATTTAGTATACGAAAATCCAGATTTAACACAAATAAAGAGGGAAAGGTCGTTAGTAGGCTGTGGTTGTGTTCAAGGGAAGGTCAGAGATTACCAATCACTTCGTCGCAGACCACAACCATGAATTGGCGAAACAACACTGTGTGATGTATCTGAGGTCACATCGCAGTTTAAACAGCGCTGACAAAGCTCAAGCAATGGCTATGCGCAATGTCGGTGTGAAGACTAGCCAAATCATGGACTATATGGTAAATCAGCCCGGGTCTTATGAGAATGTTGGTTTCATCCGTACGGATCTGCACAACCATATTCCAGCCGAACGTAGAGCAGAAGTTGAGGATGGTGGTGCGCAGGGTGCGTTGGTTTACCTATGCGCAAAACTTGATGTTGATGCACGTTTTTTTTACAAGTATGATGTGTGTAACGATAACAAGTTACAAAATCTGTTCTAGGCAGATTCGAAATTGCGGGCCGACTACGCAAAGTTTGGTGATGTGTTGATATTTGACTCAACTTACAGAATCAATGCATACAAGAAACCTTTTGTCATGTTGGCTGGTGTGACTAGCCACTTTAGGACCACGATATTTGCATGTGTTTTGCTAGCTAATAAGACAATTGAGACATACACATGGGTTTTGGAAACATTTATGGAGGCGATGGGCAATAAAGCACCTATGTCTGTACTGACAGATGGGGATAAGGCGATGCGAGAGGCAATCAGAAGAGTATTTCCAGATGCAAGACATCGATTATGCAATTGGCATCTTCGGAAAAATGTTGTTTCAAATGTTCACATAAGTGGCTTTGCACATGCTTTCAAGCAGTGCACGGACATGGAAACGGATGAGACAAAGTTTGAGCATGGCTAGACGACAATGGTCGAAAAATTTGGACTTCAAACCAATAGTTGGGTGTTGAAGACATATGAGAAGCGTCATATGTGGGCTGAGGCATATATGCGTGGACATTTCTTTGCTGGGATGAAGAGCAGTCAGCGCTCGGAGTGTATGAATGCTTATTTCAATCCTTTCCTCCAACACAAATTGAAGCTATATGAATTTGTTAGGCACTATGATCGGGTTCTTGCAAGGATAAGGTATAACGAGGCTGGAGATGATGCTGAAACAAATAACACTTTTCCGGTATTGATTACTCCATTGCGAGATATAGAGAGACATGGAGCTGAGCTATTCACCCGAAATATATTTAGAATGTTCCGTTATGAAATCTTAGAAGAGGGGAAGTTGAATGTCAAGGACGTGTTCCCTTTGCCGGATGGTCAGAAATGTTACTATATTCATAAGTACAAAGTGAAGGACAGATCATGGATAGTAACACACAGTCCAATGGATGCTGTAATGAGATGTTCTTACATGAAGTTTGAGTCGTTGGGCCTACCTTGCTGCCACATGATATGTGTTAGGAAAGCTAAAAATTTAACGCAAATTCCCTCAACTTGTGTGCTACATAGATGGACAAGGGCTGCAAGCAAGGATGGCCAGTAATGGCCTCAACCCTCAATTGATAGCACTACAACACAGACGGCCTGGTATGGGATATTGTGTTCTTCCTACAATGAAATGTGTTTCTATGCCTCGCAATCAACGGAAGGTTTCAAAGATCCTAGGGATGCATGTCTTCCGATGACGAGCCGGATGAAGGAGTTATATGAGAGGAATTTGAACGGTGGGAATGGAGACAAAGGGAAACATTCATTTCATCGACAATTTGGAGTAGAAGATCCTGATGTTGTGAAGACAAAAGGGCCAGGACGGGCCTCGTCCAACTGTCGAAGACCAAGAAAATGTGGGAATTGCAAATGCATTGGGCACACAAAGCGAACGTGTCCTAAGGTTCGGTTTAGCCGAACAGTGGGTACTAACTCAAATACAGATACACCCCACATAACTGACCATGAGTACAATGCGGAGTCATTGCCCGTTCGCTGCAAAACTGGGTTGGTGGATCCAAGTACACTGCACATTAAGCAACGGCGACTATTTTTCGATGTTTCTCCGGATTCCAAGCAGCCTGTGGGCCAATACGGTAGTGTTGAAGCAGCAGTGTGGAAAAATGATTCGAACACAGTTGATGAGGTGAATCAGGTAATTGTATAATTTGTATGATTTACTTATTCCCTTAATTTATTAGGCAGACAGTACTAGCTATTGAAAACACATGGAAATAATGTATGTAGTTTTCATTTTGCATGGATTGCTGTACGTAACGTGTAAATAATTGGTTATGTACAATGCCAGGAAATGGCACAACGTTACTTATGTACAAGGCCACGAGTTGTAAATTTCCCATATTGTTTAGAGTGATGTTGTCATTTGTGTTTCCAGTGACTTGTCATTTTCAAAACTAATTGAAGGTGAGATGAGATATATATGGGTTGTCTGTGTATTGTTTTGGGTGGGAAATTGGCTTATGTTTGTATTCCAAGATTCCTATTGCGGGTTGCTTGTTTCTGTCCCATATTTGGTTGGATCTAACTGAAGGGTTTTTTGCGGTGTGGTTTATCAACTAACGATGTGTTTCGCTTCGTATTGATTTGTTATGACTTGTGTCGGTAAATTAGTATTATATTTCGAGTAAAATACGAATTTTGTCCAAGTGAGTTTGCAAAATTACATACCAGCACTTGCATTTTGTATATAATCCAAGTGGCAGTTAATTTTGGGTGTTGCTTGGAGAAAGTAACCCAACGAACTCGTTACTTTATCTCCATGCCGATTGGTATATGAATTACGAGTTACGAACAGGAGTTGTGAAATTATTTAATGTTTACTATGGAAGTATGGGTTTATTGTTAGTAACATTATGGTGGGCCTATATCGACAGCAACGAAGCAGTAATTTAAAGTTGACAAGTTCAAGAAGAAAATCAAGCAATTGTGGTATTGGTTCAAATGCCTGAAATGGATGAAGACTTCTTTTGATGAACTAATGGTAACAAAGTAGAAAGTAGAAAGTAGAAAGTAAGTTGTTGTGTTGTTGTGTTGTTTGTAACAAAGTAGAAAGTAGAAGGGAAAAAACTACACAGAAGTTACAATCCACGAGTTGTAAATTTCCCATATTGTTTAGAGTGATGTTGTCATTTGTGTTTCCAGTGACTTGTCATTTTCAAAACTAATTGAAGGTGATGTGAGATATATATGGGTTGTCTGTGTATTGTTTTGGGTGGGAAATTGGCTTATGTTTGTATTCCAAGATTCCTATTACGGGTTGCTTGTTTCTGTCCCATATTTGGTTGGATCTAACTGAAGGGTTTTTTGCGGTGTGGTTTATCAACTAACGATGTGTTTCGCTTCGTATTGATTTGTTATGACTTGTGTCGGTAAATTAGTATTATATTTCGAGTAAAATACGAATTTTGTCCAAGTGAGTTTGCAAAATTACATACCAGCACTTGCATTTTGTATATAATCCAAGTGGCAGTTAATTTTGGGTGTTGCTTGGAGAAAGTAACCCAACGAACTCGTTACTTTATCTCCATGCCGATTGGTATATGAATTACGAGTTACGAACAGGAGTTGTGAAATTATTTAATGTTTACTATGGAAGTATGGGTTTATTGTTAGTGACATTATGGTGGGCCTATATCGACAGCAACGAAGCAGTAATTTAAAGTTGACAAGTTCAAGAAGAAAATCAAGCAATTGTGGTATTGGTTCAAATGCCTGAAATTGATGAAGACTTCTTTTGATGAACTAATGGTAACAAAGTAGAAAGTAGAAAGTAGAAAGTAAGTTGTTGTGTTGTTGTGTTGTTTGTAACAAAGTAGAAAGTAGAAGGGAAAAAACTACACAGAAGTTACAATGTAGAAAGTAAGTTATGTTGTTGTTCATGTCCTCTCTCTCTGCAAGCATTCTGCCCTTTATAGCAATAAAATTCCCACGACCCCATGATCTGCCAATTCTACAGCTGCTTCTGTGCAACTTCTGTAACTGCACAGTCATTTTCGTGTGTTGAAACCACATAAAAGCTTCACTTGTACATGTCGAAGTGCATATAATTGAAGTTGCCAGCTGTGTCCAGGTCCTTTTAGCCTTTCCTCGACAGATACAAACTCCCAATTCGTTCATGTTTCCTCTTGGAGGGTGGCCACTAAATCCATGAGCACTGCCAGTAACTGCTCGAGCGTGTAAGTCAGGTGGCATGCAAGATTCAATGTTAGTTGAATGGAGCAGCTGTTGGGACGATGTGGGAAAAATAGGTGCAAAGAGGAATTTTTAATCTAATATCCAATCAGAATGTAGCTGAAAATATGAGTGAACTTTTTTTTAAAAAAAAGTAGTTCCCATTTTTTTGATTATAAACCCGAGATGTATATTTTGTTTTTGATATAAATAAGTTGTGTATTTTCGTTACGTAAAATGTAGGACAACAATTGTGTTTAAGTCATTACAATACAGAAAAAGGTTATTTCAAACATATTTTCAAGTTTTCCGACATTGAATATATTTTGATTAAATTACAGGGAAAATTCAATATTTGGCAGAGTTTGATGATTCATAGTCAGGGGCAGTAACAGTGAGTGGCCAAGTGTTGTGGTTCTTTGGCCCAGTTTGCAAGGATTGTGGTTGTGTTTAGTGGACAATATTCTGTCGATTTTTGTCTCATAATGATGAGGGACGTGCCCCACAATGGTGAAAAGGAAGGTCGACAGGGAAGAGTCAATATTTGGCAGAGTGGACTTGAAGATTCGAAGTCAGGGGCAGTTACAGTCGCAGTTATGGTGTAGACGTGTGGGATCATGCAATGATGGGCCACAAAAACAGTATACGGATATCGAAACCAACGATCTCCGTTCTAGGCATTCCAAGTATACTAAACCTCCACTTCTATCCGTCGATCTCCCTTTTCTTGTGTTTATTTCATGGCCTCCAACTGTTTGAAACTTCTGTCGACAGAGCAAGGCTCCTGCTTTGTCTCATGCTTCCTCCTGAAAGTATGCCCAGTAACTCATAATGATGAGGGACATGCCCCACAATGGTGAAAAGGAAGGTCGATGGGGAAGAGTCAATATTAGTTTTCAGGGGACTTGAAGATTCGAAGTCAGGGGGCAGTTACAGTGGCAGTTATGGTGTAGACGTGTGGGATCATGCAATGATGGGCCACAAAAATAGTATACGGATATCAATACTAAACCTCCACTTCTATCTGTCGAGCTCCCTTTTCTTGTGTTTATTTCATGGCCACCAACTGTTTTAAACTTCTGTCGACAGAGCAAGGCTCCTGCTTTGTCTCATGCTTCCTCCTGAAAGTGTGCCCGCTAACTCCGTGACTGGTGGTAAAAACTTCCCCTATCACTTCTAGGTGACCCACATGCAGAGAGCCCACTTTCAGGTCGTGGACATTCCTTCAGACTTGGCCACATGCCCTCAATTAAGTGGACCATCTGTCGACAGAGACTGGCAAAACTTGGTGCAAACAATGGCCCCTATGTTCAAGTTAAATATTGCGGAAGTGATTGAGACCCCTTTCAATCACCACCTGCCCCCCTCCCCACACACACACACGTGGGGGCTGCTGATTGGAGAAGGAAAAAAAAATAAGAAATTGAAAAAAAATAAATAAAAAAGTGGCCAATCAGAGAGAGGGGGTTATGGGGGTCCCCCCTTGTGGGGGTCCAAGTCATATGATATTTAACTTCAACGAGGGGGCCATTGTTTGGGCCCAATAGCAAATTTCTTAATACGGGCCCAAAACAAACATAAAGTACAGCCCAATATAAGAGCTTTTAAATATACTGGCCCCATCATAAACTATAAAAGACCCACCCTTTCAGCTTCAAACCACTTCATTTCCCTCTGATTCGAACTCCCCGGATTGTAGTCCTTCTTCTCAACCATTGTCGTTCCAAACCAGAGCACCACAAAACCCTAAGCCATGGCGCCGAAAAAATCTCAACCATCTCCATCTGAGGAGAACAATGAAGACCTACTCCGCTTCCCAGACCCTATCAGAGCACGTATCGCTCCTCTAAAATTTGCTGCAATTCTATTGCCCAGCACAAGCTCTGTCGCTAAGGCTACTCTAGGCCCTACCTTCGCGTCTTACTTCCCAGATGAGCTAGCTCCATACTATCCCCTTGGTAATGGTGAGAACCGTCTTCTCAACCAAGCTGGACTCAAGTGGACTAACTGGAATGTTAGCAAAAACCCACTCAGAGGGTGGAGGTCACCAGACTTTGATTGGCGAAGCGGGGCAGGAGAATTGAAGGTCACGATGCTGAAGTATGGAAGCACCAGGGCATTGGTGAAGCAATTAGACTGTCGACTAAAATTTATGATGTGGACAAAGGGCTGATTGCTGCTGCTGCATGCTTTTGGTCGCAGTCTAGTAACTCCCTACTCCTCAATTTTGGTATGATTTCCCCTAACATCTTAGATGTAGCTCACTTGACTGGTCTCCCAATCTTGGGCAATCCAATTCATGCTCTCCTTGAGCCTCCAAAAGTGACATTTACCTTAAACACTGACATGTGCTATACTGATTTT